CTGGGTTAACTGAAATCTGGTGGGACCCTACTCACAACGGGGTGGTGGACATTGAAAATTATAGGTTTCACAGACAGAATAGAGAGGGGGGAAAAAGTGTGGGGGGGTGTTGCTTTCTATGTTAAGGAGCAATAACATCTATAATCAAGACGGGATCAGAGGAAGGCCAAACTGAGGTACTGCGGGTTAAGATACAAGGGGGTCGAAGAGAAAGGGACTTGGTACTGGGGGTCTACTATAGACTGCCACACCAGGAGGATGAGCTACACCTGGAATTCTCCAGGCAGCTCTTAGAGGTCAAGAGATAATATTGTTATGGGTGACCTAAACTACCCCAACATCTGCTGGGAGGATCAGTCAGCCAGAACTAATAGCTCATGTAAGTTCTTAACCTGAATACAGGACCTCCACCTGATGCAGGAGGTATACGATCCCACTACAGGTAACACCTTGCTGGACTTGGTGCTAGCTACGGGGCAAGACCTGGTGGGGGATCTGCAGGTACAAGGCAACCTAGGGGATAGTGACCATCAACTGACTGAACTCACTATTTGGCAAAGGGTGGGAAAAATAACCAGCAGGGCAGAAGTGCTAGACTCCAGAAAAGCTAACTTCAGGGTGCTTAGGAGATTGGTTAGTGGTGCATTAAAGCTCAAGAGTATTGACAAAATGGGGGTCCAGGAAAGGTGGATTTTTCAAGGAAGCAATCCTACTGTGTAGAAAAGGGGACAAAGGGGCTAAGAAATCCTCCTGGCTCCGCAGGCAAATCCAGGAAAGCCTAAGGGCAAAAAAAGGAGTATACAAGCTGTGGAGGCAGGAAGTAGCTACCAAGGAGGAGTATACCTCCTTGGCTCACACTTGCAGGTAATCAGGAAAGCAAAAGCAGCATTAGAACTCGGGCTAGCAACAAAAATTAAGGACAACAAAAAGTCCTTCTTCAGGAATATAGGGAGCAAAAAGAAGGCGCAGGGCAGCATAGGACTCCTACATGATAAACAAGGGCAGCTAGTGACAGATAGGAGACACAAAGCAGAGCTCTTCAATGAGTTTTTTGCCTCTGTATTCTTGAACTCTGATCTAGACAAAGCTCCAAAATGCATTACAGACAGAAGCAGAAGAAACACCAGCCCACCAACTGTCAGCGCTGACTTAGTAAAGAGACACTTGGAGGGGCTGAATGTGTTTAAATCAGCACAACCGGATGACCTCCACCTAAGGGTGCTGAAAGAATTAGCCAGTGTCATAACAGAGCCACTGGCACAACTGTTTGAGCACTTGTGGTGCTCAGGTGAGGTCCCTGAGGACTGGAAAAGGGCCAATGTAGTCCCTGTTTTCAAGAAGAGGAGGAAAGAGGATCCAGGTAACTATAGACCAGTTAGTCTCACCTCTATCCTTGGGAAAACCCTTGAAAAATTATCAAGGATCACATCTGTAGGAGTCCAGCGGGTAATATAACACTGAAGAGCAACCAGCACAGGTTCACAGCAGGTAGATCTTGCCTGACTAACATTGTTTCTTTCTGTGACCAGGTCACTAAAAGCTTAGATGCAGGTGTCGAGGTAGATGTCATCTACTTGGACTTTAAAAAAGCCTTTGACACAGTATCCCATCCTATGCTTATAAACAAACAACAGCTGTGCCATAGACGATTACACAATCATGTGGGTGGCAAATTGGCTTAAGGGTCGTACTTAGAGAGTGGTGGCGGATGGGTCGGTATTGACCTGGAAAGTTGTGGGCAGTGGGGTCCCCCAAGGCTCAGTTCTTAGGATGGTGCTGTTCAATATCTTCATCAGCAACCTGAATGAGGGTGTGGAAAGCACTCTGTTCAAGTGCACAGATGACACCAAACTTTGGGGTGAATCGTCCACACCTGAGGACTGGAGGGCAATCCAGGCTGACCTTGACAGGCTAAGGAAACGGGCGAACGAGAACCTCATGGTGTTTAACACTGAAAAATGCAAGGTTCTCCACCTTGGGATGGAAAACCTGCAGCATCCTTATAGGCTTGGCAGTGCTATGCTGGCTAGCACTACGGATGAAAGGGACTTGGGGGTCATGATTGACCACAAGATGAACGTGAGTCTTCAGTGTGATGCTGTGGCTAGTAAAGTGAGGAAAATGCTGGCTTGCATCTATAGATGCTTCTCAAACAAATCCCAGGATGTCATTCTCCCATTGTACTCGGCCTTGTTGAGGACACAACTGGAGTACTGCATCCAGTTTTGGGCTCCACAATTCAAAAAGATGTGGAGAAGCTTGAGAGAGTCCAAAGGAGAGCCACGCGCATGATCAGAGGTCAGGAAAACAGACCTTACGACAACAGGCTGAGAGCTATGGGATTCTTCAGCCTGGAAAAGCGTAGGCTCAGGGGTGATCTGGTGGCCGCCTATAAGTTTATCAGGGGTGCTCACCAGAATCTGGGGGAACATCTGTTCACCAGAGCACCCCAGGAGATGTCAAGGTCAAACGGTCACAAACTCCTTCATGACCATTTCAGGCTGGACATAAGGAAGAACTTCTTTACTGACCAAGCCCCCAATGTCTGGAATAGACTGCCACCGGATGTGGTTCAAGCACCTATTTTGAATGCCTTCAAGAGAAAATTGGATGTTTATCTTGCTGGGATCCTATGACCCCTGCTGACTTCTTGTCCCTGGGGCAGGGGGCTGGACTCAATGATCTTGCGAGGTCCCTTCCAGCCCTAATGTCTACGAAATCTATGAAATCTATGAATCCAAGCGGGCCTGGACAGGTTAGAGAAGTGGACAGAGAACAACAGGATGCAGTTCAACAAGGACAAGTGCAAGGTGCTGCACCTAGGGAGAGGGAATCACCAGCATACCTATAGGGTGGGGGATGACCTTTTTAGCAGCATAGTGGCAGAAAGAGATCTTGGAGTCATTGTCAACTCCACGATGAATAGGAGTCGTCAATGTGACAAAACAATTAGCAGAGCTAACCATTACTTTGTCATGCATTAGTAGGTACATCACGAACAGGTCCAGGGAAGTGATGCTCCCCCTCTATGCGGCACTGGTCAGGCCACAGCTAGAGTACTGCATCCAATTCTGGGTACCACAATTCAAGAAGGATGTGGACAACCTTCAGAGGGTCCGGAGGAGGGCCACGCATATGGTTAGAGGCCTGCAGGGAAGGCCTTATGAGGAAAGGCTGGGGAACCTGGACCTTTTCACCCTCTGCAAGAGAAGGCTGAGGGGGGATCTTGTGACAGTATATAAATTAACTGCAGGGGCAGCAGGGAATAGGTGATGCTCTGTTTACCAGAGCACTGCTTGGAATAACCAGAAACAATGGCCACAAGCTGATGGAGAGTAGGTTTAGGTGGAACATCAAAAAGAACTTCTTCATGGTTAGGGTTGCCAGAATCTGGAACAGAATTCCAAGGGATGTGGTGCTCTCCCTACCTTGGGGGTCTTCAAGAGGAGACTGGACAAGCACCTAGCTGGGGTCACATGATGCCAGCACTTTTTCCTGCCACTGGCAGGGAGTCGGACTCGATGATCCTTTGAGGTCCCTTCCAACCCTAGCATCTACAATGGCCATAGTAAGGTTTTGAATAGTTTTCCTCCATTAGCAATTGGACTGACCTGGTCTATTCTTAGAACATGTTTACCCCCTTTCCATTCTGTCTCTGATGCTATTGCTGCTGCTGTTCCTACTTAACTCACAATCTTCTGCAGTTTTCATATTCTAATACATACATAAACCATCTCCAATGCATGAAATGTCTTTCCAATTTTAGCTTTCCAAGATAGAATCTTCACCTTCATTCAGATCTTTCTTTAAGATGCATTTTTATCATAATGCCCACAAGCAGCAAATCAATCAATCATCTATCATCATCATAAAAACACAACTGAGCCATTGAGATGGACACAGACTCAGTGTACCAATGAGATGCTATTCTCTCTTGTCCTTCCTGGCTCATTTCTTCTCTACTATTTCTTACGCTCATTATATCTCATTTAAAAGTTAGCCTGTAAGCTACCTGGAGTTTTTTTGTCTTTCTATTTGCTCTGTGTAAGCATCTAACAAGTTTTTGGCACAACAATAGTAAGGTATATTTACTCTTTTTTTTAGTCTATCAGGATGCCATGCAAACTACTGCATGTTGCTCCATTAACTGGTTTCACCATTCAGAGGTTCAACTGCTAAATGCTGGAGGTTAATTCAGACTTCATTTTAATTCAGGGCTTAGCCTAGGACCTGCAGAAGTCACTGGGAGGTTCTGTCACTGACTTCCATGAGAACAATTTTTTTTACCCAGCGTATTAACCCTCTGATCAGATTGTTAACAAATGGAACAATTAGTACTAATTATAATAACAGTTTACATGGATAGAGAACATTTTCAGCTAGAAATGGGACTAAGACCAGCAACGGATCTAATGTATGCTGCTGAACAACTCCCAGATTATGCTATCCCCTTACCAAAAACCCGGGGTGGACATGAAACTGCAAACTCATTCCCTGTACCATTCATATCAAGAAATGTCCAGATATGGGCAAGGACCCTTTGGTAAAATATACGCCCATAACTATACTACTTCTTGATGTAACTCTATGAACTTAAAAAGAGCCACACTCAAGATCTCACTGCCAATATAGCTATATGTTCAGAAGCATACTATGTGGAGTGTATATTACCTTCAGGACGAGCTTTTGGTTTCTTGAGTCCTCCATCTTGCATCAGCTCAAAAGCGAAGGAAACATTATGAACCTGAAAAGGAAATATTCGTTTAGATTCCCACATGGCACCAAATCAATAAAACAAACAAGTTATTTTCTTTTCCCTTCTCTTGAGATGCAAAACACAACTCTGGCATGTATTTTGTCTTAAAAATCAATAAGCTCTATTTATGTGTGTGTCAGAAAATACCTGTTACAGGGTTTCTAAATCAAATTACTTACAAATGAAAGATGATATCACTGTAGGTTAGGTGCTCAATGCAGCGGGAAAGGAAATCATTGAAGATTTCCAATTTTTTATGTAAAGGGTCAAAAATGAGATATGGGTGCTGACTGAGGGAAAACCCTGTAAAAGCTTAGCAGAACAATGAAGTCTTCTTGACACTGGTGTGCCTTGAAATGTTGCAGCCTCTGTAAAAGAGAAGTTGAACATCTGCATTTCTGACAAGCTCTTCCTGCCTGTATGCTTAAGACAAGTAACAGTATTTCATAATAGTGCTTCAATCTCCAAGGAAATGGATCACCCCCCCCTCCTAGCACTTAAGAACTGAACAGGAGTTAGCAGAAAACTGATGACAGAATGAGGTGTTTTTATGGTAGGAAGGGCGTGGAGGAGTGAGCGCAGGCGCAACGGGAAAAAACGGAAAGTGCCGCTTCCAGAGCCGTTACCTTATTAGGATAGAAGCTCTGAGAGGGGAGTGGAGTGACGGGACACAAGGTTAAAAAGTGGAGAATGAAGAAGAAAGAGAAGAGGGGGAACGAAGGAGGATCCCCCAGAGAATCTATAGAGCAGGGGTCAGCAACCCCCAGCACGTGTGCCAAGCATCGCATGCAAGGCCATTTTGCTTGGCATGCCACGGCCAGCCACAGCTCTGGGTAGCTGCTGCCAGCGAAGGAGCCCGGGCTGCTCCCCGCAGGGCTTGCAGC